CGACATGGGGCGCATGGCGACTTGGACATCCAAACTAGATGCAACGCTCGTTCAAAATCAACCATTTCTCTCTGATCCAAGTTTGCATGCGACTCCCGTGCACCGGCATGGTGCGCATGGTGACTTGGACATCCAAACCAGAGGCATCTCTCATCCGAATTCTCCAGTGCATATTTACAATTCCATAATCTAAGATGATATACCTACAACATTATTATTTGTAATCTGATTAAGATGTGCTTGTAGTGTAACGTAAAATATTGCATTAAAATTAAATTTGTTTATTATTAACTTCATCTCGCTCGAACAGAAAAGCAGTTTTGTCCATTATAAAATAATAATCGTCTGAGTGTGAGAATTATTTTCCTCCTTAAACACGTCAACGATTCTTCTCCCCTGGTAAACGAGGGAGGTAGACTTTTTGAAGTATTTTTCAATAGCTGCACCGCAATAGGTACATACAGAGTTACACAACTCGAAGAATAGGCCTGACTATTTCATGGATTGATAATCAACTTTATGACGCTGAAAGATCTATCCACATAAGTGGGAATCATATCTTAATTTATTTTCATAATTAAGAAATTGTAAGCCATGGAAAAAGTCTGAAGCCAAGTTCCCCGTAACGGCATAGTTCTAACCGATATTGATGGATACGAGTTATCTATGTTGGCTCTATAATGGATAAATTCAGGTCTATTTGAACTGGTATTGGTGTACATTTTTATTACTTTTCAATTACCAGCTCTTGCGTTCCTTCTCCTTGTTTTAGTTAGCTTTAGGCTTCAGCTTAATAAACTATTAGTTCTTAATTATTATTATTATTCTTTATTATCTCAACTGCATTAAATTTAAATTATTATTAAAACATAAATAATTGATTTTAATAATTATTGATAGTCAGCCGTTGGCCGCACTAGCGTTGGACAGTTTCTCCAGCGACCCATTGCTTACCATTGGATTGCGCTTGGCCCAGTTATTGTTGATGCGGATGAAGGCCTTACCAACAATCCGGCTCCGGCAGTAACAAATCTTACCAGTCTGTTTTGGTATTGGCCAAATGAAAAGGAAACTTATCGCACCAGTTAGTTGGGCACACATACTAAATGATCATACGCACCCTATGAATGATTAAATGAAAGGTTATAAGTAAGCTGCCCTTTGACGCATATTTACTTTGGCGGAACAAACTGCTTTAGCGCTCGATGTTTTCTTTTCTTTTCAATCCATCTCTCAATTACAGTGGCTCTCGAAATTCTTTCAAAGAAGATTGACTATTTTGACAAAACCTATGGCTAGGTCAGGATTTCCGTTCTGTTTCCACAGCAGCACACTCACCCCTGCTAGCAGTTTCGTAGCTCTGAAAAATATTGATTAAAATAAAATGAAAATTATACAAATAATCTATCATAGCACAGCAACTTACGATCAGCAATACAAGCTTCCCGATTGGAAAATCGGTCGGTGACACCAGCTCATCCTCACAACGGACAGGATCATATTTGATTCACGAGACTTTAATTACGGCGTTACGACGATGCATTTTCTGTACATAGCAACAACTCGCAGCACACGTAAACAAACGCTATTGGCGTTGACGGTGACTTTATAGCTCTTTACTCTTACGGAAAATCCCGTAAGCAAACGTCAGACTCATGAAACATGGTGGCCTTTGTAATATCTCCTCACTCCTCCGAAAATACAAATAAGATACTGTCATTTTTTTTATAGAACAGATGATTTTCAACGGTGCCGTCAACGCCAATTGGTTTGCTGCCTTCGCTTGCTGCTTTTGCTCGTTTGGAAATTGATTCGATCATGAAAAAATGTGAGTCGATCGCAAGATGCGAGAGTAGATGAATAGATGTCACAGATAAAAACAGATAGTTCACAGTAAATAGATGATCAAAATATATGTGAGATTTATGGTGAAAAGAAGATAATCTGGATGTGTCGCACCCCTCGGGATATTCATTGGATGAAAGGGACCGTGAAAGAGAACACTAAAATCGAAAGTTTTTCTTCCGGCAGTTTCATCTTAGTATTCTTCTTTGCTGTTAGCATCACATTTGCAAGTATTTTTGCATTCGTATACCATCGAGGAGGAAGAGGCAAAAACAACTACGAATAAATAAAATTATGTAGGCACTGGTTATATTAAATAAATTATACATGGAAAAGAGGCTGGCAATTTTGTTTTTATTTTGTATTAACGATCTTTTACAGAAACTGGAATCTCCTAGTGAAAACAAATTCGATATACTAAGTTTAATACACCGTTCACATTAAAGCGAAGACATCAAATCAAGAAGACTGGCAACTCTGCCAGAATCCAAGCGACAGATACAGTAGCGCCAACAATCAATTCGAAACTAACGATTTTAAATTGGCTCACTACTTGACTAGCCTATTGGTCCCAAGCAAACGATTAACATATCCCATTCTAGTCGAAATTCTAGTACTACACTATGTTTGTTTTGATTTGCTATGAAAGTTTGACAGATAAAATGAGGGGTTAGTGGATTTTCCTATGTTTCGAGGGGTGAATCGATTAGCTTGGGACCGAAGATAGTACCAGAGCTGAGCCAAAAAGTTGAGCACGTATCTTCGGGACCCTCTGGTCTTAGAGTTACCTCTATGGTAGCGCTGCGCTCGAGTGAAGGTGGAAGTAACGCATAGATAAATGAGCAAATACACAAACCATTCTTCTCAGGTTGTAATCTTTGCTATCCAATTCGTTCGAAGCATTTACCTTTTCGCGGCAGATGACGCGATTGTGCCGGTCGTATGAGAAAATGGTAGAGTTGCCAGTCTTCTTGATATGTTGTCTTCGATTAAAGCCTATATCACGTAATATAGGCTGTCTTGCAATGAGCACTCATACATAGGATTTCGAGTGAAAACTAGATGTATGAGTGCTCATTACAAGACAGCGTATATTACGTGATATACGCTGTAATGTAAACGGGGTATAATAGTTTTATCAGCAAAATGCTGCCAAATGTCAGAAAATCAGTAAATAAATATTGCTGAAATCATTACTGATTTTCAGTAAAATGTTATCATTTTGACAGATTTTAGGATTACTGGAAAAGTCAGCAGTTGCTTTAACGTTTGCTGATTTTTCATCAAGTCTAAAACCAACAAATTTTTGCTGATTTTCAGTGATTTAATTTTGGTGTGTAGACAGCATCTCCAGGGTTCAAAGCCTTTATTTTGCTGTACTGGGCTTGCTGTCACGGTGTAACATGTTGCCGACGTGTCTACCACTGAGCTGATTAAGATCAACACTCAAAATTTTATGCTTAAATTAAATTGTAAAGTAATAAAACTAGTATATTTTTAAAGGCTGGCCATCGGCTGGCCACATTCATTTATTCCAATGAAAAAGTACGATTAATTAATTGAAATAATAATCACTAATGACTGTTAACATCCTCAACAAAGAAAAATTAATTATCAGAATAAACTGTTCTGAGGGAAAGCAGTAAAAGCATATTCGACCGTTTGACTTGATATTGATCAGTTTCTTATACCCCGTACAGACTATGGCTTATATCATGTAATATAGGCTGTCTTGCAATGAGCTCGACAGCCTATATAACATGATATAAGCCATAGTATGTACGGGGTTACTTGATAATTATTTTATAGCTTATTTCGAACTTTACAAAATATTGACTCATTCAACCAATTGTAATCAAATAATGAGAAAGTCACGAATGATCATTTTTGCTCTGGGAAAAAATACGCCAATTTTTGAGCGGTGTTGAGAAGAGGTAAACAAAGGCAAAAAATTAATATTTTTCAAGCAGTAACTTGAAAATTTAAAGTGATTGACTCCCCACCACTCTGGTTTAGATGATACCCTGCAACGTAATTTATATGTATAGCTACCCGCTTAAACGCGAACCATAAATTGACCTTACCTAAAATGGTTAAAAATTGTTTATAATCCCTGCTAAACTTTAACTGAAATGGTTATGGAACTTTAAATGAACGTTTAATGATAAAGTTTCAACCTTATGTATTATGGTTTTTTGAAGTGGACCTTACAAATAATGGGTTGTTAAGAACCATTACCGTTCCAAATTCTTGTTTTCTCCATACATTTTCGGACAGAGAACTATATAAGAACCTTTTAACTTATGGTTTGAGAACTTTAATGGTAATGGTTATGGTAGTCAGTAAGGTCCATGAATGGTTTTGTAACATCGATAAACTTTATGTGGAATATATCGCGAATTGGTTGCCTGTAATTTACTGGTGGCCTGCTGCATTGACGTGTGTCTGACATGGATTGCAAGAAGTAAGAGATGAAGTCGGTGTTCCAGTCTGAATTCTAGGATACCAAGGCCTTCACCTGGAAGGCCCCTAACAGAGAGATAGCTGGCGTCCGAGCTGACCAGTAAAAGGAATAACAATGGTTTGAACCTTTCATCGCCCTTCATGCCTTTAATCACTGAGGAGCTGTACCAGCGGTTGCCATGTGCCGATGTGGAAACTGTCAATTTTTGCGGGAAGAAACGTTGGTTCGATCACAGACAAACAGACGTAACTCTTTGAAAAACTTGTTCTTGAAAACATAGTATCTCAAAACATATAACCTCAGTAACGACATCTATCTGGCTTCTCGCGGAAAACAAGCTTGCTCGCTAACTCGTAAACAATATTGCATAAAATTTCTATAGAATATATAGAAACGTCAAAGTGATCCGATGCCAGCGCTGCGGCGAGTAGTTCGCGGAGCTGATAATATTCAAATCAACCGTTAAATGCATGAACGAAGATACACAATGAAGAGTTACGTCTGTTTGTCTGTGGCTCGATGGTGCCGTCATCGGCAATTTTCTCGCCAAATTTTGGTGCGCTTTGATTTGCAGTTTTTATTTTCAGTGTGCAGTTCCCGGACTGTCAAAACAAACCGAAGCAGGTGAACATCGCCGTCCGGAGGGACATTTTTTCGCATGTGGCAGCCCTCGGGAACTGCCATCGATTTCACATAAAAAATAAAGATCGAAAAATAGTGTGTGTGGTGCAAAGATTAGGACGAGAAAGAAAAGCAAAAAAGTGACGATCGCTCGCTCGTTCGGGGTGCGAGTGTAGGAATAAGAAATCCTCAGGATATTGCACTACGTTTCCGCTTGCCGTGAAATTGAAAAGTACGTGAAAAAATCCACTACGGGATCCGTTCGGTTTCGCGACACCGTTTTTCCGCAGCTTCGATTATCGCCTATCGCAGTGTGTACGCCATCGACGGCGACGGTCGGAACGGGACGTGAAGGGGATTGTCCGATCTTCGCTTAAATGGAGCATTACCTTACCTACTGACTGCTGCTGGCAAGAAGGAAGAAAGAAACTAGTGGAAAGACGAGAAGAAGAGAGTTTCCACTGGCTGGTTCTTCTGCGGCTGCTGCTGTTACTAGCGTAGTTGGGGTTGGAGAGTGGGCCTTCGCCACCAACACCACCACCACACGCAGGCAGGGCAACATAACTACATAGCGCCTTGCGTGTGACAGAGTCTACTTCTGCTGTGTCAAAACAGGCGTAATAAAGAAGAACAACATTACTTTTGGTTGACGATAGCCCGCGAAGAAATTCGGAACTCCCCACTCGACGGGAGTGACTGATGACGGAGGCTACCGCGGAAAGACAGTAGTGGAAAATGTCCGGCCAGAGTTCCATCAGCAATCGGATCAGCTTGATAGAGGCCCAGCTTCAGGTGCAGCAGCCGCCCCCGTCCCAGGGCCAGGGGCCGAGGACACCTCCGACGCCGCTAACGCTCAACTTCGACCGCACCAGACGGGGCGGTAGCGGCGGGATGGGCGGCCGTGGACGTGAGTAAATAATAATAATAATAATAATAATAAATGGTACTAGAGGCTATAGGTGCTATTACGCGAATTAGTTCATAGGTTCAAGAGGATGCGGGAAAGAGAGAGTTTGGATGACTGACAATGAGACGAAGGTTGATTTATTTTGCGGAGCGTGCTTTTGTGTAGCATGAACTGTTATGTTGTTTTCGAGGGTGGCCAAATTTCATTTTTCAAGGAACTCTATCAATGTCTTATTTTAAAAGTGAATTCATTGCATGGTAAAAAATCAGAAAGCAGTTGCAATAAGCGCTAAATGGGCATCATACCAACATCTTTGCACTGGGCACCGAGACAGCTAGAAATTCGGATCATGGTGCGGCAAACCCTTAATTTGGTACTCTTTGTTGCTTATTGGGGACCGTCAGTTTGGTCGTAATCACGAAGAAGAAATCGTGCGCGCTTGCACTAAGCCTAAAACATCATCCTCATTAGTACGCTATCAGAACTGGTGCAAATATTAATATCATTAATATCAACACCGAGATTGTCCTGTCCTGTATCAAAATTAGTTTGAAATCCACATCAGAATTTCATGGGACTGCTTTTTAGAATTATATGAAATTGTTTTCAAAATGCCCTTGAGCGAATTTCTTGAAATTTCCTCTTCAAAATTATGTTTAAACTGTTCTGAAAATTCCATTCACATGGATTTTTCTCGAAAATCTCTTGGAACTTTCTTCCGAATCTTCTTAGATTTCTCCACACAATCCCCATAAAAGTCTCTTCAGAATTACCTTGAAAATTACCCTTAGTTCTTCTTACAGTTTGCTTGAAATACTTCTGATAAGTATTTGGAACTCCTATTCGAATTATCAAGAGTGTTCTCCACAGAATTCCTTTAGAATTATCTCTAGAATTTTCCAACAATTCTCCACAAAACTCATTTGGCATTCGCATTAAAGTTCTGTACACAAGTGTTTGAACAGCCTCAGAATCCTATACACAGTGGAAATGGACACGGAATCAGCGCATTTCTTCCATTTTGTCCGCATTTGCTCGATGTCCTTGACTGCCCCACCGCTTCGTCGAAGTCGCTGTTTTGAAATTGCCCAGTATTTTTCGATTGGTCGAAATTCCGGGCAATTCGGAGGATTCATTAGCTTGGGGACAAAATCGATTTTGTTGGCAGCATACCACTCCAGAACCACCTTGGAGTAGTGACAGCTGGCCAAATCGGGCCAAAAGATGACTTTGCACCTATGCTTGCGGATGAACGGCAATACACGCTTTTTCAGGCATTCTTCTATGTAAACTTAGGATGTCATCGTCGAGGATGTGACGAATGGTTCCGTTTTCAGGCCAAATCATGACTTTCTTCGCAAAAACGGTCGTCAAGAGCCTTGCATGCTTTTTGGCCACGGAATTCTGCTTCATGTGCCGGTTCGGATGATTACTGGCTTTGTACAACTTGTATCCTTCCCTGGCAAGGATGTTCCGCACCGTTTAAAAGTTGGCGTTGTACCTTATGGCCACATCTTGCAAGACCAGGGTTGGCTTCAACGCTGCGCAGCTGGCGATCCCTGGTTCCAGTTTTTTGTAGGTCCACTGATTCCTTTCCACACTCAGAGTTTCCTTGTAGGTTTTGAGCACTCGACAAACTGTTGTTTTCGGCTGAAGATACTTTAGCCAGCTTGGAAACGGACCACTCCGGATTTTCCAGGTGTTTGAGCACAATATTTTTCCTTCTTTCGAGTTCCATTTGACGTTATTTCTGAACACAATCGACTACTTTGATCCAACTTTTCTCTCCACCGCACCCGATCCTTTAGTCAAGGAAATGCATCATCACCCTGCTTTAGTTATCGTGATCGAAATAATATTGTCCATGATTTCATCAGCACTCCAAACGCTGTGTCATATGACTTCCGTAGAGCTGACGATCGCAGCTTTGTCCATGTGCTGTCTATTCTAGATTTGGAGCATATTCTAGATTTGGAGCATATTCTAGATCCTGCACGGCGAATGAGAACGACCCAAATTTGAGTTTAGTTAACTCATAATCGCCAAAAGTGCAGGAACTCAGCGATGAGTAAATTTGCCTCATGTTTTCCCAGGTTTTTCCAGGATTTTCCAGGGAAAAAATCCCGAATTTGAGAAAAGTAAAGATTGGATTCACTCAGTCTATTGGTACTACTCCGAGACTGAATAAAATTTTCGTCGATTTCCTCATTTTCCGGCAGATTTTTTAGGTTTTCCACAGTAAACCATGAGACAAATTTTACTCATCGCTGAGTTCCTCCACTTTTGGCGATTATGAGTGAACTAAACTCAAATTTGGGTCGTTCTCATTCGCCGTGTGTAGACGTCAACAACCTTTTCTCACGTCTTGGCATATGTCATTGACAGGCACGTTTCCAAAAAGATCATCCATATCGACTCTCGCGTCCCGTGGATGACGAAAGATCTTCGCTCGTTGAAAAGAACTAAGAAGGCTGCTCTCAGAAGATTTACTAAATTCCGCACACAGCCGCTGAAATGCTACTACTCAACCACGAGTATAAGCGCTTAAGTCGTCTCTGTTTTCAACGCTATCAAAGGAGGATTCAACGGCGGCTAAAATCACACCCGCAATCCTTTTGGAACTTCGTAAATGAGCAACGCTGGGAAGTCGGCTTACCCTCTTCCATGATTTTTAATGGTGAAACTGCTGGCAATCAACAAGACATTTGCAACCTGTTCTCAGCCAAATTTGCTAGTGTGTTTGAAGACGAGCAGCTCTCCGCTAATATCATTACTTCCGCGGCTCGCCGAAGCCACTACAGATACGATTTCTAGAGCCGTATCTAAACTTAAGACTTCAGCTAAGGCTGGATCCGATGGTGTTCCGTCGATTATTCTTCTTCCAGCTCTCTCTTTCCAGCGGCATCTTTCCGTCTTGCTGGAAGACTGCGAATATGTTTCCTGTTCATAAAAAGGGAAGCAAACGCGATGTAAACGACTACCGGGGAATCACGTCGTTGAGTGCTGTATCAAAACTTTTTTGAATTGGTTGTCATAGAGTCCCTAAATGCGCATTGCAAGCAATATCTAAGTATAGATCAACACGGATTCATAACTGGGCGTTCCATAACTACGAACCTGCTGTGCCTAACGTCTTACACCACAGACAGTTTGATTGCTCGGACCCAAACGAACGTTATCTACACAGATCTTACGGCAGCCTTCGATAAGCTGAACCACTAAATTGCGATCGCTAAGCTTGATAGGCTAGGGATCGGTGGGAATCTTTTGAGATGGATTCGTCCATAGCTCACGGAGCGCCAACTGACATTGACTTTGGGTACTTGTCGCTCAGCTTCTGCGCAAAGTCCGTGTTATGATTATAAATAAAACACGCGCGTACAGGAGAACATAACTTTAATCAATCCTCTCTTCTACATCCAGTGTTGCCAGTCCCATGACTTGTTATTAAATCACAACATATCTCTCTTTCTTTAATCAAGTTGAAAACCTATTTAGTGCAATATAATCTATTTTTCCACACTATTACTTAAGGCAATAGTCGTCAGAATGTTTCGGGCGATTTATCTCTCTACGAGGTCTTACCAAGGTATCGGTAGGCGCCGACATGGCTGTTGGACAGGAACTACGCTTTCGTCAATTTTAACGTCTACCTGCAAGTCTTTCACTTTTCCGATCGGTGGTTCTTCTTTCTTCGACACAGTGAATACTTCGCCTTCAATCTTCAATATCTCTTGACTCTTCAAGTTCCGCCATATCTCAAGAGTCTTGAGATATGGCGGAACTTGAAGAGTTCTTGAGTCAAGACTGATGACATTCACATGTGTTCCGGAATCAACAATCCAATTTAACTTCACTCCACCGACGTAACAGGTCACCATATCGTGCTCCGCACCTGTAGCATTAATTTGCTGCACGTTGCTGTCACTGTCACTTTGCTCTGCTTAGTTTTCGCTGGCATCGTCGTCAGAATCACGCACTTGAAACTTGTTTTTCGCTGCACCGTGCTTGTCCTCCGATTTTGTTCTACACATTTTACGGAAATGTCCGATGATTTTACACTTGTCACAAACCTTGTTCTTAGCCGGACACCCTTTGTCATTGGCGAAGTGACCCGCATTGCCACACCGGAAGCATACTTCCTTCTTTTTTTCACGCTTCACTTTTCGACTGGTCGTCACGTCTGTTTTTCGGCGATTTTTCTGACGTAAATCAACCTCCCGGAACGTAACAACACAGATCCCGAATTCAATCACACGATCCGGAACCGTTCTCAACGAATCTAATCTAAAATTTATGCCGCGTCGCCAAAATGTTATGATTACAAATAAAACTCGCGCGTACAGGAGAACATAACTTTAATCAATCCTCTCCAGCTGGGTGGCATGCCGCCATGTTATTGAAACCAACATCTGAAACGTCACAATTCCAGTGTGAACTGCAAAAATGGCGTGACTGAATTGTCTTATTTTTATAAAATGAAATTATTTTCCCTTTTATGCCATATAAATGGTTGACTTCGTGGTAGAAAATCAGAAAATAATATTTTATGAGTCCTAAGTTTATTTTTCACTAAATGTAAGCAAAAATATTAAGAATATCCATAATATCAGTCACGCCTTTTTTGAAATTCTGGATTGAATCTTCTATTTGTTTACAAATTATGAGCTGTCAGTGGGGCCCGCAATTCGCGGGCCCACAGCGATGTTAGCTCTTTTCAAGGCAAGGCAAACAAGATAGGGATGCCACCCAGCTGATCCTCTCTTCTACATCCAGTGTTGCCAGTCCCATGACTTGTTATTAAATCACAACAGTCCGGTATACCTTAGGGTAGCCATCTGGGACCATTGGTATTTCTCCTTTACTTCGACGACGTTCACCATGTTATCACAGGGCCACGATTATCGTTTGCAGACGATCTGAAAGTTTTTCTGCGCATCCGCTCACTCGCCGACTGCCGAGATCAGATTGACATCTTTGCTGACTGGTGTAGTCTATAC